TGTTGTATAGCATAACTTTATAAATTTATATATTTATGATTTAAATTTTATATTTATGTTTATAACATTTTAGAGTGACAATTAAGGCAAAATATAAACATGAAAAAAATGGATTTTACTTAAGAAATTATTATTAAAGATGTTTTTTTCATATGATATTAACAAAAGCAAATATATTAAATATTTGGATTTAGATGTAAAAATTACATAAAAACTATGTGGTATGTATATAAACTCCTTTGAAAGATATTAGTAACTAAATAAATTTATTTGGCACATTGGCACTACAAATTTGGGGATTTATATAATTATGCTCAATTTTAATGTAATTATATATCTAATATTTTAACTTTGATATTTACTTATAAAAGACATAAAAAAATGCCGCTGATATTAATTTTCATAAGATGAAATACAACCCTTCAGACATATATTTCGATGTGATTATAACAGTAAAATATTGTATGAGTAAATATCAAACTTTAAAGGGTAAATATATAAATTTATAAGAAGTTTGAGGAATGCATTTAAACCCCTCCAACACCCTTCCCCACCCCAAAAAATAAGTGCTAATTTTGATGTGATATTAAAGGTTCGAGTGTAATGTATGTAAATATGTAAGTTTAAGTGGGAGATATGTAAATAAATAAGAATTATATTCTTAGAACACAATTCCTTCTCTAAATCCAACTTAGACAAATAAAAAGATCAATGAAAACAAAATATTCATATTTTTTTTAATTCAAATTTATCTCAATTGAAGAAGATAATAAAAATAATAATAGTAGTAATAATAATAATAATAATAGAGAATTAAATGAAAGGGTAATTAATTAAATAATTTTAATAATATCCCTCTTTGATTTTGGTGAAAGCATCACACTATCAATTAAAACTTAATAATTTTAAATGATTTTTTAATAATTTTATTTATATTAATATTAGTTTAGTCTACTCAGACCAAGCATATAAAAAAAATAAATAACTATACATAAATTTAATGAATAAAATATATCCTAATGTTGACAAAAATTGGTGACATATGAAATAAAATGTATTATTCTATAGGCCAACATATTAAATTTTAATTATACACTAAATCACATCATCAAAAAATACATCCAAATTATTAAATAACTCAAAAGAAAAAAAAAGAAAAAAATTATAAAAAAATTATAAAAAAATATTCTACATAAGATGAAATACAACCCTTCAGACATATATCCCTCTTTGATTTTGGTGAAATCATCACACTATCAATTAAAACTTAATAATTTTAAATGATTTTTTAATGAATTTATTTATATTAATATTAGTTTAGTCTACTGGAACCAAGCACATAAAAAAAATAAATAACTCTACATAAATTTAATGAATAAAATATATCATAATGCTGAGAAAAATTGGTGGCATATGAAATAAAATGTATTATTCTATAGGCCAAAATATTAAATTTTAATTATACAATAAATCACATCATCAAATAATACATCCAAATTACTAAATAACTCAAAAGAAAAAAAAGAGAGAAAAAATTAAAAAAAAAATAAAAAAATTATTCTATAAGATATATATATATATATATATATATATATATATTGCATTAAATACATATGTATACCCCAATAAGAATGAGTTAATGAGAAAGATTCATAAACCAACCTCAAAATGGCTTTTTTAAAATATAGAAAAAAATTTACAACTATTACCATACACAATTGAAAGAAAGATGTGTTTTTTGAGAGATAGAGAGTGAGAGAATGAGGGTTTAATTATCTTGGATTAGTACATTTTGAAGTAGAAATTTATGAAAACTACGACTCGATTAAATAAAAATATGTTTTCCTTGAGAGAGAGAGAGAGAGAGAGAGAGAGAGAGAGAGAAATCAATTCCCATACTCTCCCTAGAGAGAGAGAGAGAGAGAGATCACTCCCCATTATCCCTAGAGAGAGACCCTATAGACACAGAGATGCCAAAAAAGATAAAGAGTTTCCAATGAACTCTCTCTCAAAACAAATGCCGAAAAAGATAAAGAGTTTCCAATGCACTCTCTGTCAAAACAAATCAAAACAGAGCAGCAACTTCTTCTCCTTTTCCAAAACTCTCTCAAATCCCCTCTCTCTCTCTCTCTCTCTCTCTCTTTCTCCTTGCCCCCAATGCTCCCTTCGCCGCAGTTCCCCTCTCCACCGCTGGAACTCATCCAAATTCCCCCACCAACAATGCCGCAGCGCCGCCGCCCCCAAAGAAGCCCCCAAAGAAGCCTCAACCAACCTACCTCCGCCGCCGCCGCCCGTCGGAACTCATCGACGTTAGCTACAAACAACTCGAGCTATTCTTCCAAATCAGCTCGCCAAATGTTGAAAAATCTCATCTTGCGCTCAATGGCGTCGAGGAAGAGGAGTGCCGTACTCCGGCTTCCGGTGCGACCAAGTTGTCGCCGGAGATGGCCGGAAAATGCCCTGCGCCGCCGCCGCCGCAGCCGCCTCCGGTGAAGCGCAGGCTGCATTTGAGATGTAAGAGGTGTGTATTGATGGAGGAGTGCTTTGTTGAGGTGGGAATGGAGGAGCTGCAGAGCTTGTTTAGGCCGAGAAGTTCTCCGGTTGGCGAACCGGCGGCCCGTTGGGAGGAGAAGGTGAGGAAGAAGAGGCGAATTATGCGCTAACTAGAATTGTGCTGCGCGCACCTGTTTTTTTCATTATTTTGTTTTTATTATTTTTTTATTTTTATTTTAATGTTTTATTTTCTTATTACACTTATTTTAATTAAAAAAATATTAAGCTTTTATATATATAGTTGTAAAATAAATGCTCAACATTAGAAGGTATTTAAATTATTTGTTTTAGCTTTTATTTTTTAATTTAAGCTTTTATTTTGCATGCTTTTTTTAATGGTAAAAATGCAATTTTTTTTTAAATAAAAGCTTCCAGAATAGGATGAGAATGATTTTTAAAATATAGAAGAGGCACAAACTATTTTAAATTTTTTGCAAAACTCCACTTTTATATTTATACTGAATTCATAATCAAATTTATATTTTAATAATTGTATCTGAAAAAAAAAAGTCTTAATTACGATTCTTATTTATTTACATATATGACATCGATACATTCATATTTGCATTTATAATAATTTGGCATGATGATCCTGTCGCCCTATACATGAAGTGTTGTATTATAATATAGTATTTATAGGAAGATCTAATAGATATTGTGACTCGGTCGAGTCCTTATCAATCAGCTTATTGGAGTCCAATCGATAGTTGCCTGATGCTTCATCCTTTCGCTGGTTGATTTCTTATGGGTGATGTCTAAATTCACTGACTCGTGACTCGGCCGATCTGTAGGTCGCTCTATTCTGATCAACTACTCTCATGTTATTAGGCTTTTTGGTTCTTCTGTCACTTGAGTCAGTCGCCCAATTGATGGCCCAGCTCGAGGAGAAAAATTTGCGTACGTAAGACGTATACAACGCTGCGTACGTACGGGAGGTTATTCAGATGGTTTGGGGGGGTTATATCCGCTTTTTACCCCTGTCACCTCCATATAACCTTCCTGTACCTTCTAGTAAGTTTCGCTCTTCTGTTTTCATCTTTTTGTAGGTTACAAGGAGGTTACAGGGAATATAACGCAGATATAACCCCTCAAAATCCTCTGAATAACTTAAGTACACTAATTTTCCTCCAGGTTTTCATCTTTTTGTAGGTTACAAGGAGGTTACAGAGAATATAACGCAGATATAACCCCTCAAAACCCTCTGAATAACTTAAGTACACTAATTTTCCTCCAGCTCGAGGCATCTCTCTTGAATTTCGAATAGCTCGGGGCATCTCTCTTGAATTTCGAATAATATTGTTAGCTCTAAATTGCATGGAAAGATCAGTCACGGACGCACGTGAGTTTCACGCGTTCAATTCAGAACAAAAGAATCACAATAATAAATGCAACAACAACCGAAGGTAAATAATTCATTCCAAACACATGACATAATTTAATTCCTACAAATATTATTAATTAAAATTAAATTTTAGGGCATTTGCATGCATCCCACTTAATTCTATTGTATTTACGTATCTAGCACCTAAACTTTCATATTTACAAAATACAACATCCAAATCTTTAATATTAAAATAAACAAATACCACTAGTGTTTACTTGTTAAAAGCAAAATACACATTGACGACACGAATTTTGATGCATTTTTTTAAAGCAATGTTCAAATTTTGATAAAGAGTCGTACAGAAATCCGATTTCAACGAACTTATAATCAACTAGCTCGGTGAGATAGACCCAATGGTACCAAAATTTGTTTAATCTAAATCAAATTAAGCCCCAATTACGACGTTTAACCATATTCGCATACATTAGAGCTCAATTCTTTCAATAATTTGCAGTCACCGTACTAAAAGCCTCGTAAGGCTACCTATTTCAAATCAAAATTAATTAAATTAATATAAGTTAAAATCATGCTTTACTATTGGATAATAAATCTTTAAAAATCAAATATACGTATCCCATCCACCTTTCAATAAAGGGGCTAGCTATTGTCAAATGTTATCATTCAATGTGGTGCATTACCTTTGGGCCAATCATCATGGGCATGTCGAAAAACACTAGTTGAATCATAATATATGCAATCATTATCAATTAACATATACTATAACCACATTAATGACATATAATAAAGAAAAGTGGCATTTACATTCAAGCCAACCAGTTCTTATATATTTACATATCTAATACCCAAACATTACTTTTTTTTTTTTTT